CGTTTTGTCCCTCTCCCAAAATAAACAGCGAGCTGCTCTGTGGGCAGGTCTCCTCCTGCCGTCCCATCTGGGCAAGTCGCTCAGTTGCAGCAGGAGACCAGAGGCTTGATATTGGCTGTTGTATGAGCAGTTAGATACGCTCAATCTTTTGGATGTGAGCTAGGGGCATTTTGTAAATGAGTTATAGAATCATAGAATGGTTTGGGTGGGAAGGGACCTTAAAGCCCACCCAGCGCTACACCCTGCCCTGGGCAGGGACACCTCCCACCAGCCCAGGTTGCTCCAAGCCCCCTCCAACCTGCCCTTGAACCCCTCCAGGGATGGGGCAGCCACAGCTTCTCTGGCCAACCTGGGCCAGGCTCTCACCACCCTCACACCAAACAAGTTCTTCCCCCCATCTCATCTCCATCTCCTCTCTTCCAGTGTCAAACCCTTCCCTCTCATCGCCCCAAGTCAAAATGTAAATATCTACTGGTTTTACTCTGTGAAATCTGCCCAGCTTTCACCCCAGGTTACCTGACGGGGCTCCCTGCTGGGCCGGCTGCTGTAGCCACGTGCCCTCCCCCCCGTATGGCACACGTGTGTGTAACCCAGCGTTTGCTCTCCTCTCACATACAGATGTCTCAAACACACGGCTTCGTTCGGAGACATCCAAACTTAGGTCTGGCTGTAAATATACTGTAAATGTGCAAGAAAATTAACTTCTGCTCAGAAATGTATCTAAAGCATTAGTTTGCTACCTGCTCTATGGGCATCATTTTTATTTTCTCAAGAGAGAAATGCACAAACATGCAGCCGAGGTATGAATGATTAAATCCTTTATGTCTCCTCCTATTTTAAAAGTTCTTCAATGTTACTGCAGTGGCTAGAAGGACAAAGCTGGTTTTGCTACAGAATGTATCTAAATGGAAATAAAGATAGCTACAAGCGTATGTGCTGTGCCGCGTACGGGAGCTCTGGTCAGAATAATAGCTTTAATATAAGAACGCATATTTTCTTGACAGCTCCTGCTATATTTTTGGTACCCTGACAAGGATTCCAGACACTGAGAACAAATCCCTTTTTCTATTAAAAAAATGCTATTCAAATGAAAATTGTAATTTAGACACAAAGGCTATGATTTAAAAGAATCCGCACAGGTTGTAACAGGAGTCTGTCCTTAATAAAACATTGATCCCAGTCTTATTTGTCACTGTTAACATGGTTTTTCTTGCAAAGTAAGAACTGTCTCCAGAATGTCTGGTTTAAGCAATAAAGCAGGATGAGGAGGTTCCCTGTTTTCCAGACAATGAGTTTGTTTTGTGGGGGAAAATAGTATTAAGCCTACATTTAAACAGAAACTCAGTAGGAAAACAACACTGAAAATAAGCATCGGTTTCAATCATCTAACATTTTGGGGGGTTTTGTTTTTTATTGTAAGACTTGGTGGCAAATCTGCTAGGACTAAAAATTTGCAGGTTTGGTAAAAACAAGCTCTATTTCAGGCCCTGGAGGGAATTGAGATGGTTTATTTGAAGCAGGAGGTCTTTTGAGTCCTCTTGTTGTAGTTCTGAGTGGTACGTGGTGGCAGTTGTCACGATGGGGGCTCAGTGCTGGGGGGGTTAGGGGTCCCCCACAGGCTGTTGTGGTGCCAGCTGTGGGTACCTGGTGGCCAACAACGCTCTGACCCTCACAGGGATGATCCAGAGCTCTCTTCTGGTGAATATCGCTTAGAGCTACAACTGCTGGACCCCGGAAATAGGTAAATAGTGGCTAGATTTAGATTAGAGAGGGGAGATTGAGATGAGATCTGGGGAGGAACTTCTTTGCTGTGAGGGTGGTGAGAGCCTGGCCCAGGTTGCCCAGAGAAGCTGTGGGGCTGCCCCATCCCTAGAGGGGTTCAAGGCCAGGTTGGAGGGGGCTTGGAGCAACGTGGGCTGGTGGGAGGTGTCCCTGCCCCTGTGGAACTAGATGGCCTTTAAGGTGCCTTCCAACCCAAACCATTCTGTGATTTAATGCTTCATAATCACTTCTGTATTAGGATGCTATTTTGTTGATTTAAAAAAGTGGTGAGTGGCATCTGTTTCTTGTTGGCTCTGAGAACCAGCCTGATGTTGCCTTTTGTTAAGCTTTCCCAGCACAGGTCTGTCACAGTCCTGTTGGATCACACTATGACCAATATTGATCACTCCAGGACTACACAAGGTAGTCACTGTTGCAAATACTGTGACCATTTCACTTCTCCACGGCATATGTGCTGCTTTTATGAAGACTTCAGAAAATCCCAAATAAATAGTTTTAATCAAGGGGAACAGGGGTGAGAGAGTCAACCCTGCTTAGGGTTGGACGTGTGGGAGAGAAGAGCAATCTCACACCCGGTGTGGGGAGGCTGCTGCGTTGGCATCACCCAGCCCACCTCTCCATCAATATTATGATTGCTCCAGGAAAAACTCTGCATTTTTAAACCCTTAGTTTTGACTTTCGTAGTTTTGTCAGCAGTTTATATGTGATTGGCAGAACTTTGGATATAGAAGCCTACTTCAAGCACAGCAACCTTAGATCAGTCATGAGGTTCTATAGCTGCTACACTTGGATCCTTGTCACTTGCCACCTAATGCTGAGGGGCTGGGGGTTCCCCTTGTGGCTCATCTGAAGGAACTGAGCAGGAGTTGGGCAGCATTTGGGTGCTTTGCTGTGTGTTTTGTGCTGACCTGATGCCACACACGGGCTCCCTGCAAGAGGCCCGGTGGTGCCTCCTGTGTTTGCCCGAGGGGTGGGAGCCCTGTGGTCCCTCTCCAGGTGAGGGGCTTTGGAGCTGATGTACGTGGGGGTCCCTGCACCTCCCCTGCCCCCCCAAACTGCCTGGGTCAGTGCTGGCTCTCCCAAGTGACGGCAGAGGTTGGGTGCTGCCTGTCTGAGCGCACCCTTAATGACATTACTCTTTCTCTGCTCGCTGCTGGGATAGTGGAAATATTTTTTCATTTGGGTGATTGAAGTCTCTGTGACATCTAACCAGTGCCTCACACAATAAAACTGCCGGTCCTTTTATCTCTCCATTATTCCTTAAGCAATCTGATTCTCTATTTTTCATTTCATATGTACATTGGCTGAAAACCTTAACAATATTACACTGTAAGTTTTATCTATTTTATGAGGTGGATTGCTCGAGCACCTTTCCAAATAATAGCTATTTCTTCTGCCGGTTCTTTGCTTGAAGACTTAAAAGTCTTTGTGTATCTGCAATTACCATCTTTTAATCCAAGAGTATAATCAATCTAACACCTCCATTGTATTAGAAAGGGTGTGGATTTTTTCTCTAATTTAATCTCATCTGCAAAATTTGAAATGCAGCTTTCGAGCCTATCAGTCCTGTCATGGCCACGTATGATAGTGCAGCGGGAAGACTGAGTTCAAAAGTTCAGGCGTGTAACTTGTTTCTAAGCTCTTTTGGGGTTGTGTGTTATTTATGCTTTCTGCTTAGTCCTACTTTTTAAAACCCTGTTAGTTACATGTGATGCTTTGGAATTCTGTTCTTTCTCTTCTGGTCATTTTTATTTTTTAACAGTAGAATCTCTTTTTCTCCATCCTGGTAATAGAAGAAATTGGGGTACGAGGGTCAACCAAAGCCTTGGGTCGGTTGCAGTCTTTCAGTGAACTTCACTGAGCTGTGGATCAGGCCTCGAAAAAGAGGGGTTGAGGTACCTGAGGTGGCAGCTCATCACCCTGACGGGCAACAAGCCAGGACTGAAGAAAGCAAGATGGAATTGGCCACCTACTCTCCCTCAGTGTTGTGGGATGGGTAGATGTGCAGGGATGGATAGGCAGGTGTAGAGCATTTGATTTTGAGTATTTCTGTAGTGTTTGGGGCATTTGGTGTTCCTACATCCTGCAGTTTTGCCACTGAAATACTCACCTTGAGGCCAGTGAGCCTAACAATGTTCACTTGGAGATTTTGATAATTGCATTTTTGGAAGTATTTAACATATTGAATTGGTGTTGATCGTCTCTCTTCTATTTTTCTGATCTAAATTGAAATTTCTTCATTTTTTAAAGGCCAAGTCACTGCTGGCCATAGAGTCTGCATGCATTCGAGAGGAGATGTTTGGAACGATAGTGCTTTTTTGTAGGACATCCCTGAGCCCCTCTTATCCGCCGGTGGGAAAGCCCTGTCCCCCCAGGTACCTCCCATGGGCACCCACCCACACGTTGCCGGCTGCCTCCTCCCCAGCTCTGTGAGGAGAGACCTATTGGTGTGATGGAAGCTTGGCTCGGATCACGTAGCTCCCGCCAGAAAAGCCATGATATTCATGTTCTGTTCCCCGGGAGCAGCTGGGAATGCCTGTTTGAACAGAAAATAGTGTCTGTGCAAAAGCTGCCGCCTGCGTGGGGTTGGCCGGGAGCTGGAGATGCTGGAGGGGAGGGTGGGGGGACAAGGCAGCTGCTGCCTGGGAAGGAAGGGCTGGAGGAGCCCCCATAGCTGATGGGGAGTCGAGCTGGCGTGTGGTCGGGTACAGATTAAAGGTTACATCTCTCTGCGTCCCCCCTGGTTTTGCTGAAGTGGCTGGAACCTCTCGAGGACCCAGCTGGCTGCCCAGGCACAACTAATTGCAGGATTGAACCCAGCTGATTGTATTTGAAACTGTCTTGAAAATGGATACTCCATTTTCTGAAGGTCCGTCACGTTAGTAGAAATCTAGTATCTTCACTGAATCTATTTTCTGTGTGATCCTGGGCTCAGAAGAGAGCTTGTTAAACTTCTATTTGTACTGTTCATCCCATCAAGGTTGCTTATCATTGATGCACAAGAAAAGGCAACATATCAAATGGAAAAAAATCCGTTTTATACTTGGCAAATGCCTGTATTTTGTCTTTGTATGATGTGTTGTCATTCATCACCTAACCTTGGGGAAATCACGGGCACTCTAACAATGTAAGAGGCCAATAAAAAAAAAAATGACTTCAGTAAAATTGCAGCTAGGGATATGTAAAAGAGAAATGCCCCTGGGTAATAAAAATTACCCATGCATAATGGCTGTGCCGGTGCCAAGAAGGCGTGCCGTACGAGCTCTCCGGGCTCCGGCTTCGGGGACGCGGGGAGAGGGGGAGTCAGGAACACGAGGTCGAGCCCGAAGCCGAGGACTGAGGAGCCCAGCGCTCGGTGAGTGCTCTCCTGTCTTCACCCGTCTCTTCTGCCTCTGTTAGAGCTGTCGCCTTTGATCCTGCCTTCCTCGGGACTGCTCTCCGCTGCAGGATTTGGGCTGGGTTTCAAGGTCAAGGCCGGCTCCCCGTCATCCCCGTCAGCCAGCCTGTCTCGTTAGCGCTGAGCCGGGGCACCGGCGTTCCTCGCCCTTTCTTCAGAGCACCAAAGGGACTGTGCTTCTCCCCAGCTAATAGCAGGCACAATTCCTGCTGCCATCCCTCTGGGCTCGGCTGGCGTAGCTTTGGGAGCCTTCTTAAAGAACAGCTCTCCAGTTTTCTGAGGACCTATCCCGCTCCATGCTGCAGCCTGGCCCTGAGCGCTCGGAACAAGGTGCCAGTCCTTGGCAAGGAACTGCCCTTCTCAGCAGGTCCTCTTCTGACTGACTGTGATTGCAGCAAGCAGCACGGCTCGGGGGGGAGGTCTGAAGTTTCCTGGACGTTTTCAGTTTATATTCTGCATTTTTCTTTATTGCGCTTCTTAATCTTGCAGACTTCCAAGCTAGGGAGAAGAACAAACCTGAGATGAGGGATATGCCAATAGGGGATGAGGGAAGTGGGACAGTGTCCTTCCTCTTAGCCAGAAGTTATCACATGGTGGGCACGTGCCTGCCTTGGGCAATTGCCTGTCTGGTTCCTCTGACCAGTCGATGTGAGTAAAACAAGTCACTGTTGACAAGAAATTACTACAAACAAAGGGGCAGTTCTGCCAGCTGGTGCTGGGGTGTGGGAAAGGTCCCCGAACCCTGACACTGGAGTCAGAGAAGTCCTCCAGAAGCAATGTCAGAGCTCTGGCAGCACAGAAACCTCTTTGCAGATGAACAAGCCCAGACACAATCCCTCTTCCTCTTCTACCGCGTTACCCCAGTGACTCTTTATTAATAGGAGTCTCCTTTTTCATGTGGCGTTTTCCATTTGCGGTGACACAAAGGGCTCCCAGTGAAGACCAGACCCTTCCCCACAGCAGCCCCAGTGGCTACTGCCCCCTCCTTTGTCCACCACAGCAAATTCAAGCTTCTCGTCTTGATCTGTGCAGCCTGTCACAGCTCCCGGCACAAGCAACTCAGAGTTTTCCCTTTGAATCAGACTGTTGCTGAATCAAGCCCTTTGTATCTCCTTTTTCGGGTTTTAAAAGGGTTTAGCTAATCCTGTTGGCACTAATATTCGAGCCAAAAAGCCGGGTGAATGAACCCTTGATGAACCCTGTGCCATCCTGCAGCACCAAACGGGTAGTTTAAAATCAGCTGGGGCTCCAGCGCAGCCCGTTCCGTGCCTGGAGCAGGGACATGCCCAGGGAGCCTAAATTAGCAGCAACTTCCCCCATGTTACTCCAGCTGCGCCAGCTGTTTGTTTATGTAGATAGCCGAGCAGCAAACACCCACGGAGTTGTTAACTCTGCAGATCTTCAGTTAGTGTTTCCTAAACTACTGCTGACAAATTTCTGACAAGACCTTAATCTCTGTAAAATCTATTGGGTGCTGTCAAAGCCCCATTAGTCAGGCTGTCATCGGCCGCTGTGACTCTCAGACTCACAGCAGTGGAGTGGGATGGGGAACCTCTCACAGCGCAGGAGCCGCTGACGAGCCCGTGGATGGGACTGAAATGCCCTGAGATGCCATTCCAGAAAGAAGCCTGAGCCAGGAGAGGTTCCTCCTCCTCTCTCGTTTACACCTTTGGGAGCAGCTGAAAATTGCCTCTTTTCAGTCTTGGGAAAGCAGCAGCTGTTATTGCTCTTCTGCCCCCACTCCTGACAGTGCAGAAGGAAAGGGTGCTGCAGGGTTAAAGCACGCACTCAGTAGGAAGGAAAACACCACACAAAGCCAGGTCCCAAATCAGCAATGTTGTGTCATATTGAAAACTGGAACTGTTCTGGTTTATACCTGCTGTATTCCTCCTGATGCTCAGCACAAACCCCTGGTGCCCCCCCGGAGAGGGGTGGCTGCTGCCCCCCCCCACATCACCTCGGGGGCGATGGGCTGCTCTGTGTCCCCCCAGTTCTGCAGCTTGTGAGAACCCACCTTATTTTCCAAAGCCAAACTCTCTATCTCTGGCCATCTTGTGATGCCAGCCCAGACTAGAAGAGCTGTTTCTGTCAACAGTGATGATAGGGCGGAAAAAAGTTACTGCATGGTCTGGAAATGAAAGCAGAGCCAAGCCCTCCCCTCTGCTGCCAGCACAGCGCAGGGGCACCGGGCAGCACTTCAAACACAGCCCCCCCAGACAGACAAAGACGCCTGTGGGGGCTTGGGGGGGGAAATGGCACAGCTGTAGCACCACATTAATGAGACTGTATGAGGCCTTCTGTTTTCAAGGATGCAGACAGATGCCACCTGAAACACAGGATGCTTGGAAACACCACACACACCCAATTAAGCCACACACGTTCTGTGAGCTTCCTTTCTGCATCTCCTTAGCACTAATTACGTTAACGCTGCTACTGCTGATGGAAACCCAGTGAAGCTGTTCTCAGAATAGTTTAAACTTGTAGAGAACTAAAGGGCAGTTCAGCAAAACGCAGATTTTGAGATGACAAATCACCATTAGGAATTAGAAATAACCATCCTAGAAATCACATCTAGTTTGTGACTGTGAAGTTAAAAACAGACGATGCTTGAATTTAGAAGGGAGGCAGCAGAGGATGGTGACTGTGGATATTATTTTTGTTGCCCAAGCTGAGTCTGTTTGAGCCTAATTTTAACGCAGGCATCCAAGTGGCTTTGTAGATCCCCGTGCCCAGCCTGCCCTCCACAGGGGCTGCCGGCACGGGCAGACAGGTACCTGCTCTGGGAGCCAGGGCAGTGTCTCTGCTACACACTGGGTCCCGTGCTTAACAAATGGTACTCTTTGAAAAACGCCTGTAAATATGACCCATTTTTAAAGAAATGTTAAGTCAGTTGATTCATTAAAAGGCAAAGAGGCGTGTAACATCATTAGTGCACTTTGTACTTTTGGCACAGCTTCCCCCGCCTGGGAGAAGGGCTGCATTTTGTCTTTTGGGGAGAGAGCAGTTGTGTAAAGTAGCCAGTTTTTTTACAGTTCAAAAGATAATTGAATTCCCTGATTCACAAGCTCTTGTTTTTTATCTTCTCTGTCCTCTGGCGGGTTCTTGCCCTAGAACCTAAGCTCCAGGTTAGAGCTCACTCATGGGAGAGGGTTTGGACACGGGACAGCGTGAGAGGTGTGACCCAAGGGGCCCGTTGCTGCAGGCGCAGGACGTCGGTGACGTTAGACAATCCCATGGCCAGTCAGTCATCGCTTTGGCTTGAAGCTGCAGCCAGGAGCCAGCTGGGTTAAATCCTGGTGGGGTGGAAAGGAGATGGGACGAGGGGTCTGTAGGAGGACTGGGGCAGGGACAGGGGTGGCTGCTGGCCAGCAGTGGCCACATCACCAGGTTCCCGTGGTGGCATACGGGGCTCCATGGCAACCTCGCTGGCATGGGGTGCTCTTGGTCGTTGCCACACAACGGACCGGCCTAGAAAGGCTGGAGGAGCAGTGGTTTCCATCCTTGGAGGGCAGCAGCAGGGCTGTCTCTCCTGGCAGGGAGCAGAAAAAGGAAACATGGCCTGTGCAAAGCCCAAAAGAGCCCGTTTCAGATAACTCTAGCGTGAGTCTGGGTAAGAGCAAGCAATTTCTTCCTCATCAGCAAAATGCAGAGCTTGATAAACCCGTGGCTTAAAATTTTAATGCAAGATCTCAGAGTGGAAACTACTTTCCACATAAACAGTAAATAATTAAAGAGGATTTTCTTACCAAAAAAGTGGTAAATCTGACTTTAAATCGGTGCGAAGATATGAATCATAATCTGCAAAAACCTGAAGGCATTAATCTTTTGAGAAAATATTTACATAAGCATATTATAAGCTTGTTTGGGGATTTGTTATGCACGGGGTGGAGAGTGTATTATGCAGAGAGTAATGAAAGAAAAATTAAAATCTGTAAACATGTTATGTATTACAGCAGTACAGGATATTGCGAGGGCTCAGGTGAGTTTGTGGTACTGTGGGAACTCACATGAAACTTTGGGTATTGCTTCCACCCGTGTGGCACCCCTGGGAGGGCTGAGCCTGACCCCGGACAATTCACCATCCCCACGCTGCTCCCACCTCACACAGCACGGATTTTTGTGTAGTCCGAGGGCACACAGCGCTCAGGAGACCGAAAGAGATGGGGCCGTGGTGCTGGGCACTACGCACAGGACACACAGACACGGCTGGGGTTTGCCAGAAGCAGCCAATGCAGGAGCAAATGGGCTGGGAAGCTTTGAAAAGTCTTGAAGCAAAACAATACGTTGCAATATACAGAAACTGATCCTCTCAAGCTGCCAGAGGTTTTAGAGAAATGCTACAGATACCATCACATTGGATGCTGAAACCCCAACAAACCAAATCCCCCCCCTACAAAAATAGTGTTTTGAGCAGGTTTGGTAGAGCTGTTATAATACATCTACTATGAGAGAATAGCTCCTGTGGCAGCAACTTACAAATAGATATGGGCAGATTTAAATGAAACAATGACAGTCTGCACTAAGGAATCGCAAAAAAAACACCCCCAAAAATAAAATTATAAAATTTTCTAAATATCAGCCAATAGAGGGAGAAGCTACCTGAGGCTTCCCATCCTTGATGGGCGCATTCTGACTCTACTAGATTTTCTTACTCTGAACTGAAAGTCAATGGGGAGAGAAACGAGGCAATGTAATGCTTTTACCTTTCTTGTCTTTTATAATAATTTAGTTCAAGCAGGCTTTGGGAAAATCACACTTTTATTTCAAGATCCAAAGATCAATACAGCTGTATACATTTAGTGCTTGAGGGAAAATTTATTCAAAATTGTTTCATGATGAAAATGCCGAAGGCAGATGCTTTTGTTCAATCTGTTACTTTGAAGGGACCTTGTAATCTTAATTCCATTTTAAAGTCTTGTGGCCATTGTATCAAACAAAGGCAGCACATGTATCTCTTT